CGGCGGACCCGGGGCACGAGCAGGAGGAGGATTACCGCTACGAGGTGCTCACGGCCGAGCAGATTCTGCAACACATGGTGGAATGTATCCGGGAGGTCAACGAGGTCATCCAGGTGAGGGTGGCCCCCGCGCCGGCTTGACCCTGCCGGACCCGGGAGCGGATTCGGGCGGCCCGCGCGGCCCCGAGGGGCAGGCCTGGGCCTGGTGCGTAGCCGGGCCCGGTGGTTCCCGGCCCTGTCTCCTCCGCTGCCTCTGCTGGGGCTGGAGGGTGTCGAAAGCAGACATTCGCCGGTTACCCGGGTGTGGGGAGGTGCGCTGGGGGCGGTGCTTTCCAGGCCCTGCTATGGCGGAGGCCTGCGGCCGCCTTAGACTTCTCCTGCGGGCAATTCCTGCCGGTCCCCGGGGCCGATGTCCTTCCTTTGGCCCGAGGAGTGCCTACAGGGGCGGGGCGGGGCGTAGTGGAGGGGGTGCTGGAGAAGAGCAGGAAGAACTGGGCCCCTAAGACTGCTTCTCCGGCCACCAGTCTCACTTGAGCACTTTTGGAAGGGGTTAGAGTAGGCCTAAGAGCAGCTTGGTGTACGGTTGCCCCAAGTGGGCACCAGTTAATAAAGAAATGGATCTGCTTGGCAGTCTTAAGTGGCTACTTAAAGGTGGAGGAAGGGAACTATTTCTCGGAAGAGGTGCTGATGGGCCTTCTTTTCAGATTGTGAAGTTTATGCTTGTATCTTTTTAGTCTTTGCTGTTTGCTTGGGACCTACCTGCTATTTTCCAGCTGGCATACTCGAAACTGTTGCAATACTTACTGCGGATTGCATACCCAGCCTTGCAGCTAAAACAACAGCAGAACGCAGTGTTATTGTCTGATATTGGACAAGACTCTTTTGTGAATTAGCAAGTGGAGGCTTTCTGCCTCTGGACTCCTCCTGCCTCTGGACTCCTCTATCTGATTATTTCTTGTTTCGTGGTCAGTAAGTTAGGCTTAGTTTAAGTTGATAATCACATCTCATTTAACCTTGTGGGTCAAATTTTGCGTTTTTGAGCCTTAGGAAATGAAAAGTTTCCATTTGAGGAAAAACAGTTGTGATGAGGGGTCAGGAATAGGACTGAGGAATAAAAATGAAGTCTTGATTCAGTGATACTTTTAGAAAACTAGTTACATGGAAGGAAACTATATACATGAGCAGTAGGTTACTATTGTCTTCTTGTATATCAGTTACTTTTTTCCCACTTTAAAATTGGTTGGTTCTTATTGACTGGCAAAATTAGTATGTCCCTGCCTACTTGTTGAGTTTGCATGATTAATAGATTTTTACAGTATTGTCTAGTAAGCGACACGTTCTTTTGAAAATGGAACCATCAGTTTAGGCCTATTTGAAAACTTTTGAATTACAGTTAAAAAAAATTCTGGTTTGGTGCTGTTACTAAACAGTGGAAATCTCAAACTTTTGTATAAGGTACTCTCAGGAGGACATTGAAAGGTTGTAGAAGAAAGATAAGTTTTACTGTTCTTTCTGATTCTAAAAATATGACAGTTGATTTCTTAAGCCACTAAATTAAGAAACTTTGTTTTCTTTGAGGAAACTTGAATTTACAGCGAAACCTTGAATTCTCTTTTCATTTATTTACCATATACATTACATAGTAAATGTACATGAAACTTGATGTTTTCAAGCTTATTACTTACCTTATTGGCATTTTAATTGGCTTTTAAAAACTCATGGATATTTATTATCTAACTTACAGTCTGTTTTCATGTACTGAAATCTCATCCAACTTTTTCAGCTCTTAGGTGTGTCTCAGTCACTGAGGCCAAACCTTACAATTTCTTTATGTCACTTCTGGAACAGAAATGTAGTTAATGTGTACGACATCTTTCTTTCTTTCTTAGTTTAGGGGAACTAAGAAGACCTACAAAATACTATGGATTTTTAAGATGTCCTACTTTTACCATGCTTCCATTTCTGATTTTTGGAAGCACTTTTTTTCTAGTTTACTTCATGTTAAGGATGCTCTTAAATAGAATTCCTGAATACATAAGCATCTATCCCTTATTAAAAGTTCATATTTAGCTCAGTGAAGAAACCTAATCCCTCCCCCCCACCCCAAAAACAAACAGTACAAACAAAACGTGTGCTTTCACTTGTTCCACAAATCTGTCTCCTCCTTGGGGGAAGGGTATAGCTCAAGTGGTAGAGGGCATGCTTAGCACCCGAGAGGTCCCGGGTTCAATCCCCGTACCTCCTCCAAGCAGAAATCAATGAAGAAACCTAATTACCTCCCACTCATAAAAGTTCATATTTAGAAATATCAGTAAATCAAAGGGTAGGATTTATCCCAGACCATTTTTTCTCCAGATGAATACACTAGATCTAAACTAGGTTTTGGTTATGTTATAGGTTATTTATGTTAATAGATTTAAACTTTAAAATTTACACAGGTAACACATGAACATTGTAAGAAAAAACTGTTTAGGCAAGAGAAGAAAAGAAAAAAATATTTTTCTTGGCACTCAGAGATATACCAGAATTTGAACTGTAGCTTTGTTCCAGAACTGTGGGTAAGCTATACATTTAAAAAAGTAATAGCAGAATCAAACTGTATGTTCTATGTTTTCGTAGAAAAAAAGCTTTTTATAAAAACTGAAGGAATGTCAACAACTTTCTCCTGTCAATAAGTGACTATTTTTCAAGTGCTCGTGTGATTACAAAAATGATTTGTTTAATCAGTCTCTTCTTACTAATAATATTCCTTTTATTGTCTAGTTCCTAGCTTTTATACACCTCATTGGGAATATCCTTAGGGATAAATCTTTGAATGCTTTATTTTCATAGGATAAATTAAATTGGTGAGTCAAAGAATTAGCTTATTTCCAAGGCTTTTGATGCATATTATCACATTGCTTTCAGAAAGGTTAAACTAGTTTTTTGCCACCAGTTGTTGCTTGCTTGAGATAAAAGGGTCATCATTTTTTAAATTTGCTTTTTTTTTTTTTTTTTTTAAAGCTGATGAGGTTGAACTTTTAATGTGTTTATTGGGCACTGGTATTTCTTTTGTAAATTGCCCTTTGCTTTTGCTCATTTTACCCTCTTCTGGGATGTTTATCTTTCATTGATTTATACGACCTATTTATATTCATAGAGGCTTTAAATGTTAGTCGTGTAAGGTTTTCAATTAAAACTAATACTGATTTAATATGACAGTACATTTTAAACTTTAAGGGAAACAACGGCTTACTTGTTTTACTTAGTTCACAGCAGAGAGCTTACTGTTAATTCTAAAAAATTTAAATCCCCTTCTCCCCGGTGCTATTTGTCGGTATCAAATCAAATATTTTAGTGAATTTAAAAATAAATTTGCAGGAGAAAAAGATTGAAATGTAAAAAGGTCAAGTTAATCACATTCCCCCAGGAGAGATTAAATTACTTTTTCTGAGTAGTTCTGGGCAACAGTAGGTTAATACTGTTATTTGTAGATATCTGCTGGTTCTAGTCTTAAGTTAACACTTTTTCTTTTAGACTCTTGGTTTTCTGGCTTTCTATAACTCTCTTGTTATAGTTTGTTTAATTTGGTCTTGTTTTATTTAACTCTTTCGTGGCTACTTAGCTTTTGAGCTTTTCAGAAAAGATTGGGGATTTTCTTTAACTTATATAATTGATGGAGAACTGCTTAAAGCCCTTAATTTACCCAGCTGTATTTGCTTAACTAGTATTATGAATATTACAGTGGTTAGTGTTATCATTATAGTGGTTGTCTAATACAATTGCCAAAATTGCTAAGTAATTTATCAAACTAACACTACACAATTCTGCAGTTGAAGGATTGCCATTTTGTTTCTGCAACAATGGTTTAGCAAATATTGGTTGTACCTTGTGTGTGTGCTGGTCACTCTGTTAAAGCAGAGGACATGGATCTTGCCTAAGCAGCATATAAAGGTGAGGAATATAGAGGTCCTTGGTTTCCATTCCCAGAGATTGTTGTTCATTAGTCAAGTGTGAGTTGGAACCCAAGCATCTCTATATCTTTTAGCCACTCCAGTAAGATCTGAATCACTGGAGTAGTCATAGTTCATCCAGTATCTTGATTTTGACTCGGAGAATGAGCAGAGAAGGGCAGTAACCCTGAGGAATACCATGTTTAAGGGATATGCTGAGGAAGAGATGCACAGGGCTGTTAGATGTGAGCGGTCAGAGAGGATACTAAAGAGAAATGGGCGGGCATGTTAACTGTTTTAAGATTTTTTGCGATAAATAATCTGTTTTAAAGAAAGAAATATGTAACCTTTATGAGGGAAATTTCCTGTTGGCTGTTGATTTGAGATCTTTAGTATTATTTTACCCATTTATTTAATTAAAATATTTAATTAAAGAACTTCTAAGGTTGAGGTTTCAGGAACAAATTAGAGGCAGTGTATTCCAGTGTATTGTGTATTGGTTGGGGAGTCACTTCTAGCCCCTGCATTTCCTCTTCTAACTGGCAAGTTAAATTTACATCTCAGAATCTTCAGTTTTTGCTTTTCTTATTTCTTTTTTTCTTTCTTTTCTTTTAAATCTGGGAAGGTAAAACCAGAGAATCAAACTACTAGATTGGTCTTTTTTACATGAATGCTTTGTTTATCTAACATCCTTGTAAAATCTCAGTGAGTTGGAGATACTCATTGTTTCCAAGATACTGAATTCAAATGTGTTTATCAAGATAAATTTGAATTGTTTAACTTGTTTGGAGGAAGGAGTAGAGGGATGAGGAGGAAGAGAGAAGGGAGAATAGTTTGTGTGGATGTTTTGAAGCTATTAGGGTGCTTGGTTTGGTCTGTTCCTCTTGAACTTTTATCTTTCCCCAGCTGATCTCCTTGAGCTTTAAGTTTTAAATTGTATTAAATCTTGTTGAATTGCTTATAGCAATAGTCCGATAATCAGAAACTGTCGGGGTGGGGTCTAGCAGTCTGTTTTAACAAGCATTCTAGGTGTTGCTGTGAGAACCACTGGTTGAAAGTTGAAGTGAAAGTTGAAATTTAACAGCAGTGTTTCTCCATGTGTGATGATTAGTGGTATGTTACTATAGATGTGGGTTAATGATGGAAGACAAATTGTTTAAGAAACTAATAAAAGGAGAATTT